AAGCCTTTGAACCTCCTTAACCGTTCTGGGTGACTGCATTTTTATCAAGGCCTTGATCTTTTCGGGGTTAGCTTCGATACCCCGCTGACTGACCATGAAACCCAAGAACTTTCCAGATCCTACGCTGAAGGCGCATTTCTCCGGATTGAGCTTCATTTGATACTTTCGTAGGGTGCCGAAGGTCTCTCGCAGGTCGGCCAGATGATTAGTGGAGAGTTTGCTCTTGACTAGCATGTTATCGACATATACTTCTATGTTCCGGCCTATCTGATGATGAAAGATGGTGTTCACCAACCGTTGGTAAGTGGCTCCGGCATTTTTTAACCCAAATGGCATGACACGATAATAGTAGGTTCCCCGGTCGGTGATGAAGAAGGTGTGTTCCTGGTCTGATGGGTGCATCAGAATTTGGTTATACCCAGAGAAGGCATCCATGAAGCTGAGCATTTGATAACCGGTCATGGCATCAACAAGCAGATCTATACGAGGAAGGGGATAACTGTCTTTGGGGCAAGCTCGGTTGAGGTCGGAGTAGTCGACACAGAGTCGCCATTTACCGTTGTTTTTACGGACCAAGACCATATTTGATAGCTATCTGGGATAGTCCACATTTTTGATAAACTGTGCCTCAAGGAGCTTATCTACTTCAGAAGCAATAAGCGTATTGCATTCCAGGTGAAAAGATGCGCTACTTATAGCGGAAGGATCAAAAATGGGGCTCAATGCTGAGACGATGGGTGATGAAGGGGGGGTCAATACCTGACATATCAGAGTGGGTCCAAGCAAATACGTCGTTGTGCTCAATCAGGAGGGCCGTAAGGTCGATCTTGGTCTGGGAGGATAGTTGGCTGCCGATCTTGGCAGTTTTTGTCGGGTTGGTGGGATCGATGAGGACCTTGACAAGCTTTTTCCACTGGTTCCCCTTTGACCAGCTCGTCCTTGTCTCTGATGTCGAGTCCTTCAATGATCATAGCCTCCTTTAGCTTGACCTCTTTAAGTGAAGTGACGTAACATTCTCTAGCCACGGTCTACTCTTCTCTTACCGTGCCGACCCAAGGTCGGTGGGGAATTTGACAACAAGTGGAAAGTGGATGTGATAGCTTGGAAAACATTTAGGGTAGTGTGGCCGAGGATGATGTTGTAAGCAGAGGGACAGTCGACGACAAGGAATGTGAGCAACTTTGTGGTCTGCCGCGAGTAGTCGTCGATTGTGATGGAAAGATCGATGGAATCGATGGAGGTCACCCGATCTCCAGTGAAATCGACCAATGGGGTTTGGAGAGGGGACAGACTTTCTTCCTCGACCTTCAGTTGGCGAAAAGCATTTAGGAAGATGATGTCTGAAGAACTACCGTTGTCGACGAGAACCCGTCTGACTTTGTAATTGGAGAGGAGGGCAAAGATGACGAGGGGGTCGTCATGGGGATAACGGATGCCTGTGCAGTCGGCCTTCATGAAGGTGATGGGCTCCATCTACTGTGTGGGCTGTTTGGAAGGGCGATCCAATGTGGTAACTTCTTTGTCTAAGCCCTGCCTTATTCTTCTGAGTTCTGTCCGCTGAGCCAAGCGGGGTGGTCCTCCACAAGCAAGTCTGTCAACAATAACTCTGATTTCTCCAATAGGGGGGGCGGGGTTACCATGTGCCCGGGTTGCTGTGGAAGGCGATCATGACCTTGGTTAGGTTGTGCTAGTTGCCGGAGAGGGATGCGCCGGTGGTTGTTTCTGATGGGTTCAGTTCTTTGCCTCTACTGAGGGCGGGCTTCCGTGAACCGACTGAGACGTCCCTGACGTATCAAGTCCTCGACCTAGTCTTTGAGGTTAACATACTCTCAGTATTATGGTTGTGGTCCTGGTGAAAACGGTAGTATTGGGACTGGTCTCACCGGTTGGAAGGAGACCGTGATGGTTGGGGCCATTTTAGGAGATAATCTCGTTGAATCTGGTTCAAGACTTGTTCCATGGGAGAGTTAAAGGGGGTGTATCGTTCGAACCGGCCGGGCGGTCGGGTTGACGCCGATCGGTCGGCTCGAGGTGGTCGGTCGGTATACTGAGGTGTTTGGTGAGTGTACTGGGTGTTTCTAGTTTCTAAGTCCTTTCTCTTATCTCTAGGGATCGGGTTTTTGGTTATAGGATCTTGTCTGGCGGCTAGGAAGTCTTCGGCGTTCATGTACTTTTGGGCTTTGGAAAGTAAGGTTGCCATGGAGGTCGGGGGGTTTTTGGAGAAGGAAAAAATGAAATCAGATGATCGTAGACCAGCCATGAAAGCCGTGAGAATGACCTTATCATCATTTTCTGCCACCTGTAGGGCTTCGGTGTTGAAGCGGGTGACGAAGCTGTGCAGCGACTCTCCCTCTGTCTGACGGATGTTGAGGAGCTGAGTTGCCGGACGCCGTTGGCGCTGGGCACCAATGAAGTGGCTGAGGAAGGAGTCACTCAAGTGCTGAAAGGTAGAGACAGAGTCCGTCGGTAGCTGACCAAACCACAGTCGGGCGACCCCTTAAGCGTTACGGGGAAAGCCCGACACATGATTTCATTAGGGAATGCACGGAGGATCATGAAGGTTCTGTAGGTCTCCAAGTGATCGACTGGGTCCGTTGTACCGTCGAAAGAGTTGATCGAGGGCATTTTGAACTTAGGAGGTAAGGGTTTGTCCCTGATGGAGGCAACGAACGGTAAGTTGGCTGTGGTAGATGGTTTATTTTGTATGTTTTGCATGACTCCTTGGAGTTGAAGTTTCATGGCTCGGAGTTCTGCATCCCAAAGAGAAATGTTGTCACCACTGGAAGGCAGCGGAGGCTTGACACTTCTGACCTCTCCTTCAGGGGTTGGTGTCAGGACCGATGGATGTGGGGCCCACGGTGGCAGGTTTATATCCGGGGGAGGGGGTCGCAAGCCTTCTAAGTTGAGTGGATGGGGCTGCTGGATGGTGTGGCTCGGGGCTCGTTCTTGGTTAGGTGGGATATCTGGAGGTGGAGAAGGGGGCATAGGAAGGTTTCTTTAGAGTAGAGCATTAATTAGGGCTTGTTTTTGCTTGGCCAGGCGGTTAATGCTGTTGGTGAGCTCTGTGAAATATTGCGGTGGGTTATTTGGATTGGGAGGGTCGGTTTGGTGGTCGGCAATATTGTGGTGAGAAACCATGGATCTAGTTGTGACCATCCCACCTTGGTGGGTGGCAGGAAAGGACTGTTAGGAAAGGGTCTCCGGCGACAATGAGCACAACTGGCACGCGGAGCAAAAGGTTTCCCACAGACGGCGCCAACTGATGAGACAGCTTGTTCCAAATGGAACGGATTAGACCGATTCACACTTCCCAGACTGGTGCCCGATATACCAAGCCCACAAAGAGACCTGTACAAGAGTCCAACGGGGAACGGAGAGTCCCCCAGCGAACCTTCCGACGAGCAAGTTAGAAAGAGTGATGAAATATAGAGATAGATTAGGGATAGAAAAGCTTAACCTTCTTCTTGTCTTCAACGTCTACTTATATCCTTTGGTAATCATTTTCGTTGTCCCTTCTGACCTGTCGCCATGGCCGAAAGTCTATACTCTAGCTTGCCTTGTTCATGGTGAGGCCATTCTGTCTTGACCGGGGGGGTTATCGCAATAAATGCTGTAAGGGCCTTCATTAATGGCTGATGTGCAGTGCAATAACTTTACAGGATCTTTATTTGCTTATGTGGCTTGTCATTTTCTTGCCACGTGTTTAGATGTTATTGGTTCTTAATGCCATGTTGAGCTCCAGCAACGTTGATCTTTAGTATTTGAATTATGTATTGGGGCCTAAACCGTGGGCTATATCCTTTATGGGCTTACCCGTGTCATTTATCATCTTTTCATCCCGAATTCTATAAAACTGAAGCTCTGGGATTGTTTTGAGGGTTGAAAAAAATTCAAGAAGAGATATATACACCTTAAGAGTCCTTCACTCCTCCTTCTTCCATTACAAGTTATCTTTGAGCTAACCTAGCTTACTTACACCACCACTACACACCATATACAACCTTGTCTTACCACCCTAAAGCCTTGGTTGATCTTGAGGAAGTGTAATTCAAGCTTGAGATTGCATTGAAATCAAGTTTGAAACTTCAAGAATAAGCTTGCTTCTTGAAAAGTATAAGCTTGCTTTCTCTTTTCTTGCTTTCATTTCTATCCTTTACTTCATCATTCTTGCTGTTTTGGTTGGTTTTGAGTTTGTTTGAAGTGTTGGAGTTGGGTTTGAAGGGTTACCAAAAGGGTGGAGGGAGCTTCCTCTTTCTACACCTTTATTCATAACCCAAACCTTCTCATTTTCACTATTTTTCTTTGGTATTCATACTGATTTTCAGAGATTTGAAAAGGCTTAAAACCATGTTTTGAAACTTCAAAAATGGAGGGGTTAGCCAGCCCTCCTTACCCTTGTTTACTAGCCTTAACGCTCATCTTTGTTCTCTAACTTTTTAACCCCTTTTCATGCATGTTTCACCTCTAATTTGCATGTATTTAGGACTGTTTTGAGGTTGTCTAAGTTTTCTCAATTAGTTTGTGCCTTGTTTGATACACTTGAGGTCTCATAGTTGGCATACTTGTTGTTTAATATGCTTTCTTAGTTCATTTTACATGCTTTGCGGCTTAAATTTGCTAGTCAATCAATCAATCCATATCTTTCATTCATGAGAATGGTTTCAACCAACTGAGGTTGCTCAAGGCATGTAAAGGAGACTTACACATAATGGCTTAATCTCTTCAGAGATTCATCGTCAATGGTGTAGTCTTCTTCTCATGTTTTGGGAGGACCTCTTATTTGACATTACTTCTCGTTTAGAGGACTTTAACATTACATTTGGACAAATAAACTAATGAATGACAAGGCTTAAAACAATTGATTTACAATTGAATCAATACACTTAAGGAAAATGACTTAAATAGCTTGAACTTGTCCGCACGTTATGCCTAAACTGGCACAAGCGGGTCTATATTTCAGATTGGTCTTATTTGGCCCATCCCATAATGACCCAGGCCCACCCATAATGACCCAGACTCCGAGTTTCGTCACCACCACAAGGCAAGTTGTCATTGACGATCAGTTGTCCGATGTACCTTAATTTTTTGTACCCCGTCGCAGCAGAGCCAAGCCCCAGCTCAATCTTTGAACGCTTCGCCGCGGAGTAGCAAAGGATCGATTCGCGAACTTGTAGATTCACAGATTTTACTTCACAGACATTGCTTCAATCTGTTACTTTGATTTTCCAGAAGATATTCAATGTCTGCATCAAGAATTGGAAAGCTTTTCGTGCTTGGAATTTACCTCCAATGGCGGTTTTGACTACTTGCCGATACATTACGTATGTGTATATATTTGTGTACATACATACATGCATATGTTCATAAGCATCTAAATGATTTTGTTAATTCAAAACAGTTTTTTTGTTTTTCCTCTTCAGTTGCAGAGCATTTATTGAATTCTGACATCCTATTCCAACAGAAAACATTATAATTGAATCATTTACTGTGTGTTTGATTGGGGATTTGGGAAGGCATTTGAAAATAAAAAGAAAAAATGTGTGTAAAATTATATGAAATATAGCATTTATCTTTTTTTATTATTTCTAAATCCCTTCCCAAATTCCAACCAAGCACACACATAGTTTCACAATATGACATATTAAACTTCTAGGTCAATACAATTGAGCTCATTAGAGAGACAACCTATACAAAGAAACCTGTGTTTGGTTGCAGATTTGGGAAGGGATTTAGAAAGAGAAGAGGAAAAGTTGGGTGAAATTATGTGAAATGTATATTTTATTTACATTTCACTTATATTTTTTCTTTTTCTTTCCAAATTCCTTCCCAAATCTCCTAGCCAAACATGGCGTTTTGCTTTGATCAACAATGTCCTTCCAGATTTTGTATGTTTTGATATAATCATGCTGTTTGGTTGAGGGATTTAGAAAAAGAAAAGGAAAAAGGTGTGTAAAATTAGGCGAAACTAGAAGAGAGATTACTCTTTGGCTTTCTAACCTGTTGCTAAGAGAGAGCGACTATAATCTATACAAACAAACCTTACAATAGGATATACACAATGTTGATGGAAAACTACCTCACTAGAGTTGTACTGGAATTGAAGTATAGAGATTGGATTTGTGAGGGATAAAAAAGGATCTCTGGCGACTGTGGAATGTTACTCAGTTATGGAAGAAATGTTGAATTGTCCATAATATCCTCAAGGGAAAATGTGTTTTGTTTCCAAACAATTTTGGAATCAAAATGCCGTGACACAAATTCAGAATGTGGTTCACACCAATTAGGTTGTTGACATTATATAATATATAATAGTAAAGATAGTATAGATGAAACTTGGTGTGCATTTCGCTCACTTGCTTGATATTATTTGAGTTGAAGCTGCTGATTTAACACTGATAACTAGCTAACTCGATTGTTGAAGTTTCCAAGTTTGTCATGTTTCCTTGATTAAATTACTTTCACACACACACACATATATATTATACATATATCTTACGAGTTGAAAATGTTGAATAAATTAACATTTTTTATATAGAAAATGTTGGATAATTACCCTTCAGAATGTCTTTCTTGCCATGGTAGTAAGTTTATAGTTTCCTTCAAATCCTATCCTTGATTCTTTTGTTGACACTATGTCAGCTGTTATTATGTTTCATGGCATGTTCCCTATTTTTTATACATAATATTGAAATTGGAGCAACTATTTAGATTTAAGCAGAAACTTACGATGTTAATGTAATCAATTTTTTTTAATGTTATTTAGAGATGTGTGGTTGCTATTTTTCATTATTTTTATTATTGCACACGAAGTGCCAACTGCAGTGGAGTTGTGGAAAACAGGTGATCATGTTTTATTTGCATGTTATGGGGAGCTTCATTTCCTTGCATTTGGAGCTTCAAATTTTAGTAACTAGTGCATAGCTCATTGGAAGAAGCTCAACAAATATGTATGCATTCTACTACCACCACCATCACCTTATTTCAAGTCCGTTGCATGCTTTATGTGTTTTGAAAATTGACATTCTGATAAATGTTAAGTTAGTTTTGTCTGTTTGTCTAGTTTGTGCTCTCATTTGTTGAAGGTGCCCCATCTTCGATAACTGACCGAGTCCCTATCAATTCTCATATCTTCTCAATTAAATTTCTTTGTTTGGAACTTTGAACAAAGTTATATTCTAAGGAATCAGTCTTTGTTTTGTTCTGTTTTGTTTTATCCTTTCCCTTCTTTTTTGGCCTGCAACTATACTACATTTGTTAAAGTGTCACCTGTTGTATCGTTTCGGAGATCTTCCATTTATGACCAGTATGTGATGTTGCTTCAGTGAACCCATTTTTCTTATGATAAGAGTCCTTATCTGCTAGCCTGTTGAGGATGAAGAATAAACTAATATTTGAAGAGTGGTCAGTCATTTTTTCTGTGTCAAGTCGAGTTATATTACACTTTTTCAGGAACTCTGGAGGCTTTGATATTGCACTTGCTTTTATCAGTGCGGGCATGAAGTCCTTCCACAGACGTTTGATAAGATGGATCAACTGACTGCTGAAGAAGATTGGTACATGTTAACTTCAAGTAGAGTATTTGTTCTAGTGTATTTAAATTAAAAGGGGTAGACTCTACTTTGCTTTAATTTGTTTTGCATTTTTTTATGGTTGCAGGAATAAATTCTACCAAGTATTTTGTGGTGCAGTTGTTGACCAATTTGCTGCAATGGATGCAATTTTGATTTGGAAAGAGCCCTTTGCACTTCAGATAATGATGTTCTCATGTTGGAAAATGTCTTTGGGAACATATCTGCTTATTGCTGCAGTGCAGGCTACATCCATAAGTTTTGGTTGGTCTTATCCAAAATATTCAGAAATTTTGGTCTTTCCATTTATATGTGGTAGAACTCTAGAAATACTCCCTCTCTCTCTCTCTCTCTCTCTCTCTCTCTCTCGTGTTTTTTTTTTTCAAATTTATTTATTTTTATAATTAATTGTAGTGGGAGAGTTGCAAAAACTAATAAAAAACTTGGTCTCCATAATTACTCGTATTTTTGCATAGTTTTTCACTACCACAATTGGCTTCTTATTGCAACGACAATCATAATGCAGGTGCTAGTTCAATTTCTTTGATAGCCATTCCTGTTAGATTCAGTTTTGGTGGTATGAAATCTTTTGTAAACTCGATAAGGCTCCCACTTGAAAGGGCAATGTTTTGATTGCCCAAAACATCTCTCTCTCTCTCTTTCTCTCTGTGTTGTTGTTGCTGTTGTTGTTGTTGATAAATTCTCACTTTTCTTTGTTACATAATTGCCCAAGATGTCTCACACCATTAGCATTCTTCCATAAGAATATCATATTGTTCCCTTTGGTTGTATCCCCATGATGACAAAGTTCATCTATATGGCAGCACACAAAGTTTACATGAATGAACCGGTGCAAAGAATGCGTCCCATATATTCTTAATAATTTCAGTGGCAATGGCCAGGCAATATGGCCTCCCCATACATTTAGGTTTTCTGGAGATGGAAAGAACTGCATGGAGAACAACACCCAATATGTTACTACTGTTCTTGGTACCTTGTTATTGGAATAAATGCTACCGTGTAACATGTAGTATGGCTTTATATATAGTCTTTAAATTTTTATTTCTTTTTTTATTTTATTTTTGTGTGTGTGGTAATAAAGGAGCAATATTATATATAATAGGAAAGAGTCAGTCACATATTTCTAGGGTAGTAAACATCCCTAGCATCTCAAAGAGTTGATTACAAATACAAGGAGGTGGGTGTTGAAAAGTATGCATTTCTTCATTTGTTGGAGCTCCTCGATTTGCTAGTAGATCGGTGCAAGCATTTGCCTCCCTATAGATATGGTTAATTTCCATCACTCCTAGTTGAGCCATGAGGGACATGCAGTGAAAATCTTGATTTAATTTCTGTCACTTGTAAATTTCTGGTCCTTTCAACTTTTGAAGCATTTTTTTTTTCTCCTTCAAATAAACAGCCTTTTCTAATTTGCATTTCATCATGGCTTTTGTCTTCTTTGGCTTTTCACTTTTTTTCCGCATTTGCTGATATTTGTGACATTGCATGTCCTTTGTTTTACTCAGTTACATATTTCTAGGGTAGTAAACATCCCTAGCATCATCAAAGAGTTGATTACAAATGCAAGGAGGTGGGTGTTGAAAAGTATGCATTTCTTCATTTGTTGGAGCTCCTTGATTTGCTAGTAGATCGGTGCAAGCATTTGCCTCCCTATAGATATGGTTAATTTCCTTCACTCCTAGTTGAGCCATGAGGGACGTGCAGTGAAAATCTTGATTTAACTTTGGTCACTTATAAATTTCTGGTCCTTTCAACTTTTGAAACATTTTTCTTTTCTTTTCTTTTCTTTTTTTTCTTTTTTTCTTCAAATAAACAGCCTTTTCTAATTTGCATTTCATCATGGCCTTTGTCTTCTTTGGCTTTTCACTTTTTTCCGCATATGCTGATATTTGTGACATTGCATGTGCTTGTTTTACTCACCTTTGCATCTATAACTCCACTTTCATCTCCATAATGAGAATCAATGTGAATATTTGCAAGATCTTTGAATTACCCATAATTGAACAAATAACTTTTTATATTTTAAAACTCCAGTAGAAATGACCTTGTCCAAAATAAAGGAAATTTTAATTTAATGTACTATTCGTCTTTTATTGTGTGTGTATTATTTTAAGAATTGACACAATTTTTTAGTGTCCAATATCTTTTATGCCAGGCACTCGAGAGAACATGTTGGATCGATATTTGGGTATTAACCTTGTTGGGCCAAAACCATTAGTTCAATGAGTTAACTACCGATATGGACTTTCCATAAAGAAATTGGTCCAGCCATCAGTTTTGAGAGTGCAAATTGATTCATATTCCCTGCAAAGGCTTTTTGCCCTCTTTTAGTACATATATATGTGAGTCAGTTGCTGTACTTTAGAATAGAAGTTCCATATTATCTTTAAAAATTGCTGAATTTTCAGCTTTGAACATGTTTTGTTTGTCTTTGTTATATGATTGGTTATACAATTTCATTGAATCGCCCTAAATTTTGTAACGTTCAAAATTCATATATCATGTTGATGCTTTTGATTGAACAAGTTCACACCTAAAATTTGCTGATTTGTCAGTGTCCCTCTTGAGAAAGACGTTTATCTTTTCGATGTGAAAGACAATTTGTATAACTTTCCTCAAGGAACAGGGTATTTAGTAGAGGAGTGAAATGGTACGAAAACTTGATAACTTGAAATGAAAAAAGAAAAAAAAATGCACTAAAGGCCCAGAAAGCTTGAAATTTTGCTGTTAATGTTGGAAATGTAGATAGTTTAAAGCTAAGCACCACAGTAATCTTTGGAATTTAGCTTGTTAACATCTTTTTGTGGATACATAGAGGAAGGGAGATTTTACCACATTCTCTGAAAAGGTTACCTGGTACATAGTATAGCATGAGGTCTTAGCCTATTAAATATTTAGTGTAGCACAAGGATTAGTTTGATTTGGTTTGGTTGGTAGCTTTAAGCGAAATTAATACCTACAAATTGTTTTTGAGAAAGTGAATAGATGAAAAGCTGAACCTAACAGGGGTTTGTGGCGTAGTTGTTTTTCTGGTGGAGCTTCCTGGACCATCTTTTCTTTGCTCTTGTTAGGTTCTTTCTTGTCTAGGAGTGCGTACTACTAGATTAATTAACCATTGAAAATTATTTAGTACAAGTGAACAATGGCTTTGAAAGTAACTGCCAGGCTAAAGGGAAACTATCATATGTGAAGCTATAAGAGACCATCGAAAGATGCCTCACTATGCAAGCTGTTGAATTGGTGTGATATACTCAAGAGGGTTGTGGAAAAGAGGGAGTTGCATAGGGATTTGCAGCAGAAGGATTTAGTAATTATTTGCATGGGAAGGAAGAAGAAAAAGAAAGAAAAGATTGTTCTGTAGAGATGAGATTCCCTGATGGAAGATGACATATGCAAGTGTGTTGAGAGGGAAAGGAATAGAAGAGAAACTTTTCATTTGTTTGCTTGTGGCAACAGAGAGAGATAAAAAGATGCAGTGTCTTTTTTAACAAGGCAAATGGTATGTAGTTTGTACCTTAAGCCTGCAACTTACATCTACTTTCTAAAAGCTTTGGATATACCATAACACCCATGACCCCAACCCCGCCTTTCATTAATCCCCAGATCCCTTGCCACCCTTTAGATGTTGAATATACTTCTCTATTATAATAATAACCACACAGAAATGTTGGTGTCACGTACTTCTTTTGCAGGACTATTTTGGTCTTTTATACCCTTGTTAAAAGAGGAATGTGTGATCCCCTTGCCATCTTGACATTACCATTTCCCTATTCTCTTATAGTGCTTGGTTCTCTCTTTCTAAAAGCAACTCGAATACAATATTGTTCTACTGGTGCAAATGTCTAATTGGCACATCTTGATCATTACTTATTTTTGTCGTAAGGATGTCTCACATTTAGACCAATAGGTCAAAACCCTCTCTTTAGTGAGCTGAGTTGGCACAAATGATACTGCCAAAATTTGTGCTAAATTTGATGAAAATATTGACACTACTATATATTTTTCCTAACCCTCTAGTGAAGTTTTCTTGAGTAGAACTGTTACAATCTTTTGCTTCCTTCGATTTAGTATGTTAGCTGAAACATGGGGTCATGTTTCAACATTCCTGGTTATGTTCTTTTAGTTGAAACCCAACCACTTGCACCCATCAGTAACAAATTTTGAAGGGACTGTATATATTGATGCAAAGCACATTGCTCATTTGGATCTTGGAAGAAAATGAAATACATTTCATTTACTTTTTATCTTTCTCAAACTTTATTAATTTTATTTATTTTTGTACATGTAATGCGCAGGTTAGGATTTGATGAGTGTGGTGGGCCATGTGGAAGACGACTAGGGAGAAAGTACTTGAAGATTATGAGAAGATTGTTGAGGCTGCTGCCAAACAAATCAAAGGCTGCACAGAATTTGAGAAAGGGGTCATCAACGAAAAGAAAGACTCAGAATTTGTAAGTGTATATAAAATTCAAAGTTGCATTGAGCATCTTTTTCATAACCGTTGACATTTTTCCCCATCTTTTATTTTCTAATCCCGAACTTTCTTTTCTTTTCTTTTCTTTTCTTTTCTTTTTCCTTTTGGTCTTCTTGTTCACCACTATAGTTTCGGACCACCACAACACTGCACAAACAAATAAACGAACTTAGTCTCCTTTGTACTCACGCTTACAACATTTTTTCACACCCTCTCTCTACTCCTCTTTACAAAAGGCTATGCTTACTTCACGTAAATTACACTCACAACCCCTGAAATTATGATAAATTCCAGAATGCTCTCTCCCTATTGGTCATTCTGTCTCTCCGCTCCTCTCCACTAAGAACTATTTAGTTGGGAGTAAGTCTAGGAACATAAAAACTGTCACATAATTGAATATAGAATGAGTAATGTTAGAGATTTCAAATAATCTACCAAATGTTTTATCAAATCTCTCACATGGGTGTGAGACCCACACACATGTAGGTTTGTGTGGGTCCCACACTCTGAGAGATTTGGTAAAACATTTGGTAGATTGTTTGAGATACCTAGCGTTTTCCATATAGAATGTATATGTATTTCGTATTTGATTTTGTGTTTGATTTCTGTGTTTATAGCAAAATTAGAACTATTTAGTTGGGAGTAAGTCTAGGAACATAAAAACTGTCACATAATTGAATATAGAATGAGTAATGCTAGAGATTTCAAATAATCTACCAAATGTTTTATCAAATCTCTCACATGGGTGTGAGACCCACACACATGTAGGTTTGTGTGGGTCCCACACTCATATGAGAGATTTGGTAAAATATTTGGTAGATTGTTTGGGATACCTAGCGTTTTCCATATAGAATGTATATGTATTTTGTATTTGATTTTGTGTTTGATTTCTGTGTTTATATGCAAAATTGATTTAGTTACACTGTGTTTGGTTAAGGGATTTAGAGAGGGATTTTGAAAGGGAAAGGGAAAGGGAAAGGGAAAAGGAAAAGGTGTATGAAACTAGATGAAATATATGTATGTTTTATTCACATTTCATCTATCTTTTTCATTTTTCTTTCCAAATCCCTCTTTAAATATCCCAACCAAACACAGTATTAGAGTAGTCGGTTATTTGGACTTAGTTCCCTTTTGGTTATGTGGATTATATGAGTGTGTGACAAATTAAAAGTTTACATTTATATCGACACATTATTATGGGTGGAATTGTGAAAACTTCTTTTGAGGTCTCAAACATTTTTTATGAAATAAAATGTTTCGAGATACATTGAAATCTAAAGAGTAGGAATGGCTACTCTTACGCTGTGTTTGGTTGGGAGATTTGGGGAGCAACAGTGCTGAGGACCCCTATTGGGGGTGATCCCCAGCACCCCTCCACCTCCACGTGGGGGGCTGTGAGAGCAAGACTTTAAAAATAAATAAATAAATAAATAAAAATTGAGCCAATCAAAAAACAGTAGGGGTGGTGGGGTCCAAGACATTTTCCTTTGGGGAGGCATTTGAAAAGGAAAAAGGAAAATGTAGTTGAAATACGAATAAAATATAACTATATTTTACTTAGTTTCACATAACTTTATCCTTTTCGTTTTTGAATCCCTATTCAAATCTCTCAATCAAACACAGCGTCATAGGATAAATTATTGTGTTTATATAAAAATATGGGCTGTCTGTTTTTGATTGATAAATCCATTTTTTGTTGATGTTTTTATTTTCAACGGGACCTTTTAGCAATTGGCAACTAATATATATATAAGGAACTATAAAGTCAACATGAACTATTTCAATGCAAGTTGATAACATGAGAGATAGGAGAAAGAGATATTAAGGTGTATTTCAGTGTTAATCAATCAATTTCAATGAACTGGAGTCCATGAGAGAGATTGAAATGACCTTGCCAAACGTTGGAATGTACCTATTAATAGAAGTTTACTCTTCAACGATGAATATAAATTAAATAAATTTCTCATCATGAAAAAAGGTTAAAGAATAAAATAAAATAATAATACCACACATAAAAAAAATGGCTAATCACATGCTGTCTTATACATGGAGGAAGAAATTAATATTATCGTATTTATATGCGTATATATGTACGTAGATGTAAACCAAATTTCAAAAAGTTGTTTTATTGATTATAATCACATGCTGATTGTCCAATTTTATTTTACCAACTTTTATGAAGGTTGAATAAAATTATTTTCACAATTAGAGTCTAATATATGAAGAATGATTTATTGTTGAGGAGTTCATAGAGAAAATGCTCACCTTTTGCTTTATCATTTTATTTTATTTTAACTAGTAAATAGTTGGCTGGCTCTAACAAAAGAACTAGTTTCCATAAATAAAAAAATAAAACTTACTATGAAATGATCAAATTTGGATTGGGTCGAAGGGCATACCTGTCAATCCGCAAAGAGTAGTAGCAGGTTATGGAGCTCCACCGACACTGCCCATCGCATCCTAATGTATAAACCATTTCGTCCACGAAAAATTATCTGCACGTTCATTGAAATAAAATAAAATAGAATGATTTCAATTAAAATATTTATTTCATATTTGATTAATTAAAAATATTTTACAAATGAAATTATCATTCATCATTCCAAGAGAATGATTTTTCTATAGGAGCGTGTAAAGAATAACCATTCTATTTCATTTATTCTCATTTCATTTCAGTGAACTAAATAGAGTATGACTCTATTAGGTAGTGTCACCGAATGGTGTAATTATTTGGGACAATATAATATTAGTCTCCTGAACAAGTTGAATCTACTAACAACTCGATTCATTTACAGTCTACGTGCCATGAACAAAAATGCAATTCCAGAAACACCATTGACAGAACATAATGTCAATATTTTTCTATTTTTGTCTGTAGCACATATATATATTTTTTTCCTTGATAAAAAAAAGCGTAAAAAGAGGTTATCTCTTCAATAATTACACTGGTAAGTTTAGCCTTGAAACACAAAATAGTAGCTTAAATAGATAAGTTGAGTTTAAATGCAATTACTCTTACAATAATTATAATTATTACAAAATTATTGTAAAAACATTATTGGAGACCAACGGAATTCATGAGCAACGGTTTGTTTTGTTCGCGAATCTGGTATGGTCACGTCCTTGGATATTTCGAGAAAATGTACCATAAAATGGTTTGTTTTGTTCTCATATTTACTAGGGGCTGTTAGGGGGAGTTAGTAGAAACCTGAAGGGGTTGACGAAGTGGATGAGGCGGATTTGGAAGTTTACTCCTTCTAAATCTTAGAAAAATTATTTATAATTTTTTTTTTTAAAAAGTATATTTTTTTAAACCTATTTTATACACTTTACATTTAGAATGATTTTAGAAATAATATTTCATAGTAAAAAACATTTTTGAAAAATTATTCATTTACATTGGTTTAATAGCATCTCTCATGTTACATATTTGTGAGAGGATTCCGTGTAGATGTGATCTCAATCTGAATTTATAGTATATAAAAAAATAATATTCACATTTTCTTTTATGACTCTTACATTATATTTTAGGGGGATTTGGTGATAACCCCCTCACTATTTAATTTGTCTATCAAAAGGACAAGAATTATATAAGTACTTTCAAAACTCCCTAATATTTTAAAACTTGTTTATTTTACTATAATACCCTCATATCTATCAGCTCTCCTATTAAGCCATCTTCACTGTGTATTTCAGAATAAAATTTTACTTTGTATGAAAGTAAAATTTTACTCTGAATAACAGTAAAATGTTACACTTTGAAACTAAAGTAAAATTTTACTCTATATAAAAGTAAAATTTTACTCTGAATAAGAGTAAAATTTTACACTCTAAAACTAAAAGTAAAATTTTACTCTGTATAAAAGTAAAATTTTATCCTGAATAAGAGTAAAATGTTACACTTTGAAACTAAAGTAAAATTTTACTCTGTATAAAAGTAAAATTTTACTCTGAAACTAAAAGTAAAATTTTACTCTGTATAAAAGTAAAATTTTACTTTGAAAAACAAATAAACTGTGAGACTCTGAAGCTAAAAGTAAAATTTTACTCTGTATAAAAGTAAAATTTTACTCTAGTTTTGTCAAATGAAAAAAACAGAGCAATAGAACCAGAGGAAAATTTTACTCTGGTTCTATCAAATGAAATTAGATCATTCACAACCACTATTCTTCTGTTTCTTCACAGTTACTTGCCTCTTTCGTATCGCCTTTTTGGTTTCTTTGTTATCTATTACATATACACAATCCATATTGCTCACTTACGACACAAAAACTTATCAAAATCAAAAACAATTTTACAACAAAAAGTTGAGAGAACATAGTAACAACTCATCAATAGATCAATTTAAGAACTTAACAACATTATCCAAATGAAAAATTTCTCTCTCTCTCACACACATACACACACACACACACAAACACACACACACATATATATATATGAAAAATCTGAAGAACTGTGCTCAAATATGAAAATTTTGAACAGTCGCGCGATTCGTCTTTGTACTCTTTCATAATTTGAATTCTTTGTCGAAAACTTGATGTAACAGGTCTCTCTTCTACTAAAAAATCATTCAAATCTCTGATCTTAAAGACTCAAAACATATATATATGTATGTATCAGTGCGATTTGCAGGAACTGTGTTTGATCAACGGTTGCTGATGAGGGATTCGCCGATTCTACAACGGTTCACGTAGGTCGATCTTGGGAGATTAGAGATCGGAATCGTTCATGGTGCACAGATTTGAGTTGAAATCCTATGTCGAAAGAGGGAAGAGAAGCTTGCGGAGGCTTTGGAGGATGATAAAGTCATGGAGAGGTAACGGTCGAGGACGGAGTCGACGGAGGGGTTGCCGAAGGCGAAGGTGCTGCCGGCGTTGGAGAAGGTGATGACGGTGGCTTCGGTGCTGCACAAGTTGCAGAGCTCGCCGCTCTTCTTGAAGAGGCCATCTGTGGAAAGAAAGAGAGTGGGGAAGAGAGTGGGTATAATAGTCATATAAAATATTTAAATAATAAATTTATCCTTTATGCAAGACTTTATAATTATGAGGGGGTTTAGAAAGTATAATTTTTTTCTTAGTTCTTTTAACAATGAAAGGAAGGTAAAGGGAGTTTATAGCCAAATTTCCCTATATTTTGGGTTTTGTTAACGAGCTATTTATTGAGCGTTTGTTAAGAATTAAATAATATTAAAAAATTTAAAGTTTCAATGCACGTTTATATATTTTTATACAATTTTTACATATCTCGATATATTTTTTTACACATACAAAAACATTAATAATCACCTTAGCATTTTTATTTTTGTCATCTTGTCTCTGAGATTTTGATTAAATAAGAGTGTATATTATTTCTCAAAAAAACAATTGGTAACTTGTTTAATTGTTCAACTTTAAATTTATTTAAAATTGTGTCACAAAACTCTATTGACTCTATTTGTCTATTGACTCTATTTGTGAGATTTAGGCCCTGTTTGGTAGAGGTGTGGGAAAGTACTTATACCTTGTGCCTTAACAGCTTATAACTTATAAATATGAACATAAGTTGATTTCTGACTTATAAATTAAGCATCTCCTGCCCTACTCAAAGAATAAGCTGATTTCTGACTTACAAAAAGTTATAAGCTCCATTGTTAAGCTAAACCAAACACATCAAAATAACTTAAATTAAACTGAAAGTTGAAATAAGTAACTTTTAAGCTGTACCAAACATGCACTTATTTACTTTTTAAAGGAGAGAAGAAAGGCTAAAAATCTGGGAGAAATATAAACACCACAACCAACCACTCCAAACTCTAACTCTGACCTTTACTATAATTCAAAACAAGAAATTAAAAGACATTAAGTTGAAATTCATAAAGAGAGAGAGAGAGAGAGAGAAATGCAGCAAATCCCTCTACCATAGCAATTTTTTGCCGACTAAACAAAATACATTTATAAAAAAAAAAAAAAAAACATTGATGAAAGTTATATAATAGAAAGACAAGCATATAGAAAATAAAAAACAAAAGTTTTTTTTAGGAAGGATATTTTTTGTCATTTTGACAAGATGGTAGCTGGAATGACTGTTTTACCCCTCCGTAGCAAATGCTGCTCTGCTTCTAACAATTGCCCCATGTTTCCGAGGCAGCTGGCTCGCCAAACCCAAAGCCTTGGGCCTTCAACAGCGAGTGGTCGCGCTCATATGTCGGGAACTCTACGCCCCCCGTGAACGATAGCATATTCCTCACGTTCACGTTAGCATCAACACTACCACCACCCCCATTGCCACCGCCACACTCTCCTGTCAAGCCCAAGAAATCCCTGGTCAGCCTGTCACTCTTCTGCCACGTGGCAAGATTCCCAGAAGCGAAACTAAGGTACTCCTGCGGCGACATTCCGGTGCCTCTTCCACCCACGTGGCCAATGATGGTGGCTTTCTGGAGGAGCGCGGTGGCTGAGAGGTGGGCTGATGAGGTGGCATTGTTCGATGAGGTGGGTAGGTTTCGGTAGGGTGAGTTAACCAGGTTTTTGTGGGTTAGTGGTTGTGGTTCTTGGAAAAACGACGAGGAGGAGATGGGTGGTGGTGGTAGCATAGGGAGATGGGTGGTTTCGGGCTTGATATGAAGTGGGTTTTGGTTGAGGGTAGGGATAGGGTTTTGGGTTGTGTCCTCCCATGGGTTGAGAGAGATGTGAATGTGTTGTTGTGCTGGTGGGTTTGGGAAGTGTTGGTGGTGGTGGATGGAGGAGAAAGGGAAGTGAGGAGGAGGAGGGTTTTGTGGTTGTGGGTGGAGGAGATGATGGAAGGGTTGGGCAATTGGGTTGGTGGTGGTTTCAAACTGGTTTACAGTGAGTCTAGCACTTTCTTCAGCCAATGCATCACAGAACGCTCTATGGGTAATAAAGCTATCCTTCCTGTTGATTTGACATGAAAAAGAGAGAGAATAGAATGTTCAAAATCAATAGCAAAGGTAAGCAAATATGCAGTTGATCATGGGAAATGCCAGGAGTATATAGCTATTTCGTTTTGTTTTGTTTTTTTTTTAAAAAACAAATCAATCATCCAGTTATGATTTCTAGAACTTGGTTTCAATCAAATAATGCAATATGGACGTCAGATAGTTTAAAGGAAAACATAAATGTTTAAATTGATGTGTATAATTAACATATATTTTGGTATATATAAATAACACATAACCAGAAAAATTATAAGAACAACAATGTTATATAATCAGAAAAATTATTAAAAAAAATACTTAGAAAACCACATCAACAGACTACATTCATTTTGGGTGTAACTCACAACATTCTAAGTTTAAATCTACATCAAACATGTTCTTTTTCTTCACTTTTTTCTTTTTTCTGTTTTTGTTTTAAGAAATTTAATTTTACTGGGTCTTGAGACGCTTGACAAAATGAAATTTAAAGCACAGAAAACCATGCATTGGTCATGAGAATTTCTTGAAAACACAGTGACGATGATGCAAGAAATGGGCATTCTTTGTCATGTTTTTAAACGAGAAGGGGGTATAGAAAGAGGCCTAGGCTAACAATTCATGCATGACAGTGGTAGGATAGAGACCAAGAAGTCATAAAGCTTACATTATTACATAACTGAGAGGAATTTACTTTGTGGGTCAAATTTAAAGTATAATGGGAATTTGAGAGAGAGAGAGAGAGAGAGCAATAACAATTGTCTGATGTGCATATATACATGCAAAAAGTGGGCACAGATAACATTTTGAATAAAAAGTTTATACAATATTTTTTTTGATTATTATTATTCGGGTAAAAAAATTAAACTAATTCTAAACCTAATGATGTGGTACTCTATTAAAAATCTAAGTCAATTTTTTGAATTATTTATTTTTTAATTGTCAGCCAATCATCTTGTTAATACATCATTAGATCTACAAAATAGGTTTAAAAAGTAGGCTTATTTATTATTTTGTATTTATTTATTTTCTATAGCATTAGTTTATGATGCCTTAAACTTTAAAAAACCTGATAATTGAAAGAGTAATGTGATTCAAATATGAATTTTATACAGAATTTTAGTATATAATAATAAATCACTCTCACATGAGCTGTACATTTCTTTTTTGAAATTAGAGGTAAGCGAGGATTCACCAATCAAATCTGTAATGAGAGGCAAGGAGGGCAACTCAACAAATCAGATATATTTGCAGATTTATTGCTTATCATTATGGTATTTCACAATTTCAGAGGGTCTCTAATAAAAAATTATTGGGTGTTTTTGAAGCATTGCTTCGTACTAAAAATACACGTTACACTTTTTTTTGTTTGGCTAAAAGAAAATGATTTGTATATATATATAATTTATAAAACATATCGAGAGTGATGTGTGAATAGTTTTTTTTTTTTAAAAAAAAAATTATAGAATAATAGTAAATGAAGAAATCATAATAAACTATATCATTTTATATAAAAGTAGTATTCAACAATTTTATGTTAGCCAAATCGTAACGGTTCGTTAACAATCAAATAATGTCAAAATATTTCTTTATATATACTTATATATATATATATATATACATCAAAACTAATAATAGCACATCAACCATCATCACATTGGTATACATACTACTACAAGACATTGCTACAAAAACACATAATACCTTGTTGTACAAAGGCATGGACATGAAATATTCACGGATTCTCAAATAATGAACACCCCTCCCACCAAAAAAAAAAAAATGAAAAAAAGGGGAATCACAAGGCTTCTCTAACTTTTTCTTAAGACAAGAGTAGAAATTGCATCATTGTTTTTGGGACTGCGTCACTGCAGTCACTGCATTATACGAAGTAGTACCAAAAAGCAAAGCTATGAGAAATCCTGCAACCCCCCAAACGTTTGTCTGTTCCAATGCCCATACATATATACCAAGTAGTACCACTATCTCTTTCTCTCTCTACACATAATTCAACCTTTGTTTTGTTTAACCACTTCAAAATGCCAGCATCATCATCTTTCACAGGGACATGGGTAAACGAAGGCCTATTTGTACAGTTTATACGAGTCATTTATAAATTTTAAAATTTTGAGTTTATATTAGATTGTTTGGTTAAACAAAAAAATATTGAGTATCTAAATATTAAAAGAATGGATGCTTTTAAGTTTTGTTTTTTGATTATCGATTTTTAATTTGCAAAAAATTGCATCAAACATGTTCAAAATAGACTTTGCTCGACACCAGAACACTCTTCACCCTCAAAAAGAAGCTAAAAATAAAATCCATATTAAGACAATGATGTCTATAAAAAAAGACTAATAAATCCAATACTTGCTAGAGCCACACGAATAGAACAAAGTTTGTCTTGATTTCCCTTTTTATTTCATCTTTGCCTTTTTTTTTTATTTATTATTTTTTTAAGTACAAAATTTGCAAATTTAGATTTCAGATATAGTGCTTTCAGTTTCTCTTGTAATTAATGTCACCAGTGACAGACACTTGTATTAATGGCCACCACTTTCATGCACTCTGTCAATTGCATTGAAACTATACTGAAATATTCCATGCAAAGCTTAAAAACACCCTGGTGTAAGAACTATAAGAACAATCCAAAAACAAACAGTCTGAAACAAGCAGAAGATATATAAACAAACCCAAAAGAAGATATAAATTAAAAAGAGAAAAAAAAGAAGAAGAGAACCTAGAGTAATGTAATTTATTTACCTGGAGAAAAGGGTTCCACAGTCACATCTATATTCTCTTGTTCCACAGGTTTTAGAGTGAGCCTTCCAATCCGATTGAACTGCATAGATCTTTGAACACTTCTCACACTTCCATTTCTTTTCCCCATGTTTTCTGCAAAAGTGTTTCTTGATTCCAGTGAGATCACCAAGAGCCCTTGAAGGATTGTGGTGCACACAACTAGGCTCAGGGCACACATAGGCCTTCTTTCTGTTTTCTTTGCTGTTTCTTTGCTTCAACTTCCATGGAAGGTTGTGTCCTCTCCTGTGAAGTTGCAAGTTCTGATCTCTCTGAAACCCCTTGTTGCAGATCTCACACACAAATCTGTTGGTTGCCAAAAGGGTCTTTGGAGATAATGCAATCACTTCAGCATCTGGGTCTGCATCATCATTTCAATAAAGTTTGTTAGATCACAATGAAATCTAGGTCAAATCATATATAAAAAAATGAAAAGTTAAAGATTTTGCTTGTGATTGGCGAGCGCATGTGTCAACCCAGATATGTGCTTAACGATGTAGTTTCATCTTTAGTCCCTACTATCTTGATGTAACTTTTTGGCGTTAGTAACTATTATTATTATTATTTTTTTGCCAATCAAAAAAATAAATATAAAATTTTGATGTTAAAGATAAAGAATTGAATCTTACCTGGGTTTCCAGGGAGGTTTCTCTTCTTCTTGATCTTCTGTGGTTGGTGATGAGAAATGGTTGAAACCATTGGATTTAAGGAAGCTAAATCATGGACTCTAGTAACAGAAGAAACACTGGCTTCCCCAGACAAAGAAGTTGAGTTAGACATGACTGCTGCAGGAAACATATTGCCTATGAAGAAGAAGAAGAAGAAGACTCCAACAGAAAAAAACAAAAAACCAAAACCAAAACCAAAAACTGACCCTCTACTCTGATCTCTTTCTTTGTTTGATTTCTTGCACCACCACAAACACAAACACCAAGCCTTCGTTGTAACAACCCACTAGAGGTTTTTTAAAGAGAGAACAACAAAGAGGTAGAGAACAACAAACCAAAAATAGAGAACCAAAACAAACAAACAAGCCTTATTAGATACATACAACTAAGCAGCAGTAGTAGTGGTTTGTTGAACAGGTGGCAGTGATACTTGAGCACAGAGAGGCATCTACAATGGGTGGGTTTTTGTGTGGGCAAAGCAAATGCAAAATTTCGTGAAGAGAAGAGATGATGATAATGATGATGATGGGTTGTTCTCAAAGTCACTATCTAACCATGGAATTGGATTGCTTGTCTGAGCATCTCTGCAACAAAATTCAGATATCTCTTTCCAATCTCTTCCTCCTAAGCCCCCCCATCAAACCCACACCATGCAATCAGAAGCATATATGGAAGAAGAACAGATCAGATATATAAGTTTTTTTTTTGTGCTTCCAAGACTAGTCTCCACTGCCCAATAACCCCATCCTTTTGTAGCCATCCATGTATATCTATATATGTGAATAAAAAGAGACAGTGTACAAAGGAAACATTATCAGTGGATAGAGATGGTGTACAGAAGGTGATGATTACAGTGACAGACTAAGGAGATGGAGGGTGAGAAAATTAGAGTATTTTTAAGAGAAGAAAAAAAAAAGAAATCAAGGTGAAAATGAGGCTATATGACTCAAATATAAATCAATAATTCTGCGAGAGAGAGAGAGAGAGAGAGAGAGAGAGAGAGAGAAAAGGAGGTGGGTGAGGCCAACCAACCAAAACAAAGACCAAGAAGAATCGCAACGGACCCATCCCATGTATTCTCATGACTCTAAAATATATATTAAAAAAATATCAAGAAAGTTATTTAAAATTTAAATTATGTGAACCAAATTCATTAAATAAATTTAAGTGTAGACAATTTTTACATAATATAGGTCAAGCGTGGAAGGTTGGCTATTTTAATAAGTTATTTTAATTTTTAGCTATTTTATTATATAAAAATTTTTATATTTGAAAAGATGGTTAGATTTTTTTTATAGTTAGATATGATATTTGTGAAAGAAAAAGTAAAATAATTATAGATTTGATATAACATTTTATTTTATTAACTATTTTTAGTCTATTTTATCTTTTTGTAATTTTTAACCAAAGAATTCTCCAAACCCAACTTGATAATATATATGTGAAATAAAGGATGAATTTCACTTGTGGAGTCTCTTATATAGTGGACCCCACATTCATGTTCATTATGTGAATTTTTTTTTTGTAGTGCCTCCTTTGGGGAGTAATTATTTTAGTTTAAAAATTAAAAAGTCATTATAAATTATTACATCATTTTTTATAATTTTCTGTACTTCTTTTTATAAAAAGTAAAAAAATTATTAAAATAGTTTGTTTCCAAACAAGACTTTAATGTATAACTCTATTCATTATGTGTGGTTCATAACACATTAAATTTTAATTTACATTCCATACTTATTTTTTGAATAAATTTTGAAATATTTTTTTTGAGTTTTTATCTTGTATTTATTTATTTATTTAATTTTTGAGAGATTTGGTCAAAACCCTCTAATAATAAAATTTTAATACATTAAGGACAAATACAAAAAAAAATTTGTCGAAAAGTCTAACATATATCACTATTACCAAAATATTAATTTTTTTAAAAAATATAACTTTTGATTTAGATGTCGGTTTCTGATAAAATTAATATTTTTACAATCCTCTTATTAAGATCTATCAAATAAGATCCATGCTGACTATAAAATTCTTAAATTTTTTTTTTATTACCGTCGAAATTGATGTAAACACTAATATGTTACAACATGTTACTCTGTTTAAGAGTAACATGCTACAACATCTCACAGTAATGTGTTACTTTGGTTTACAGTAACATGTTACTCTACAATATTGTCTTAGAAAAAAGAAGAAAATATTTTACTTTGTCATTACTCAATTATGTGTCTTCTTTGTATGGGTTTATGAAACAAAATAAATTGAACTGTCATTTTCACCAAATAAAGGTCCAATAGAAGTGTTTTGACTAAATTTCTCTTTATTTTTTGTACAATTCATTATATATTATTTTATGAATAATGTTAGGAATATAGAGATCAAATACAGATGTTTCACAAAGAATGAGTCTTAAGTGTGAATCCCATATCATGTGGACTCCAACTGTTATAAGATATCTGTGTCCCACTACATGGTATTGTTATTTTATAAAAAAAATTACTATTCAAAAGAAATTTTTAATAATTATTACATATTAATAAAAAAAATATAATTTTAACTGTTAGTATTTATTACGTTTAGCATATTTGTAAATAATTTTTTCCAATGTCACTGATATGTAATTCTCCTTTATTTTATTTATATTTAATTTAATGCTTGAGAAATTTTCTTTTGAGTTATGACGTTGGCCCTTTTCTGTCGATTCCTTTGTTCCTGTTATAAAACACCCAAATCCCAAAAGGACATTGATTTGAGTAGAATGATATATAACCCCATTATAAAAGAGGGATTGCTAACAAGAAGGCCAAGCCTAAAGGGCAAAATACACTAGAGATGAGGTTTGTGCCTCCAAACCTAATAATAACACATAATTCATCCATATAAATATATCAAAAAATTTATTCCATGGTTTAAATTAATTTTATTTATGAATTACATTATATATGAATTAAATCTAAATCGCACAATAAAATTTTAAATATATTTTGTAGACAAATTTTGTGCATATTTTTTTCAAAAACTTTATCTACCACACACTACAACTAAAATGGTTGATTCAGTGATTATTATCTACTTTCACATTATTCTTATTAATAATGTATTATCACTTTTTATTTTTTATTTTTTATAATGAAATATCTAAATTAATTTATACGTATCTCAATTAATCTTAAGACCCTAAAATTAATGATCAAATAAATCTTTAATAATCTCTTAAAATGACTTTGATACAATAATGAATCCCACATGTAAGACGAACTTTTTCTTTCACATCTATATTCCATCTGTAAAAATCTTCTATATTCAAAATTGTACATCTATATGTTACAACAATTTGCCAAATCAACAATAGCTGCTTTTGTATTAAGTGTTTGCGAGGTTGTCTTTTGCTCTAGAAACATTTTATTTCGTTATCTTCTGAAAACAGATAGCTCTATCATAACTCACATTAAATGCTGCAATATTATTGAATTAAATTATACTTGGACCAACACTTAGATTTCATTAGACGGAGGCTCAGATTTCATTTCTTTTGTGACGATGCTTACAGAAAAAATGTATATAATTATGCAATTAACAATTAACTTGATGTGTTGTTTGTTTTAAAGTGATAGGCCTCTATGTTGTCATATCATTGTGTATAATTTTTTTTGTATGTTTTTTTATTTTAGGAGACTTATGTGTAATTCTTGATAGATGGACTTATTATCCAATAGGTCCTGTGAGAATTAATAACGTTTTTATCAAACATTATTAAAAAAATGTTACTAATTGTTAATTTCCATCGACTGTTTGAACTTGTCACAAAAATGTTACTAATTATAAGTTTTAACGACAAATTAAAAAAATCGTCACAAAAAAGGTCATTAATTTTCAACTTTCAACAGCAGTTTGAAAATTCATCACAAAAAAAGTCACTAATTACAAGTTTTAGGAACAATCATGACAAAAAAAAGTCATAAATTGTTAATTTTTAGCGATATATGCAAAAAATTGTCGCAAAAAATTATTTTTAGCGACGATTACTAGGACTTATTTTCAATAGGACTTGATAAGTGCACTTTTTATCTTTTTACGAAAAGATGTGTAGAAAAGTAGAGAGGTGATGTGATGAAAAAAAGATAAAAAGATAAAAAGATGGATTATTTTTGGGTTGCCAAACTTGGCCTAAATCCAATTATTAGGATCTATTATAGTTTACCTTTATTTTATTTTAACAGGAGGATTCCCTCCGGTTTAAAATCTGGAGCAGAGGTGGCTGTTTGGGTCTGTGGAGCCCACCACAGGCCCTGTTTTGATAATTCGAACAGTTTATTTTATCGGGATACTTCGTGTTTCATCCACAAAAAAAATTAGGTCGATTCGATAAATACAACATGTTCAATTTATTGCTTTTATTATAAAAAAATGTATGATTTATTTTTTAAAAACACAATTGTTGTCTATTTTTATAATGAAAAACACAATAAATTAAACAAATTATAGTTATCGGATCGACTTAATTTTTTTTTGTCTGGATAAAATACACGAAATATTTCACAAAATGAACAGTTTGAATCATCGAAACGGGACCTGTGGTGAGCTCTATGGACCCAAACTGCCCCCTCATTTTATTATTTGTATAGCATAACTCATATTATTTAGGGGTGAGTATGGTCCGGATTGGACCGGATTGGAGTAAAATCAGGACCAATCCGTTATCTACGGATCCTGAAAAATTGGAACCAATCCAATCCGTTTAAATCGTGGAACCAATCCATTTAAATACGGATTGGATCGGTTTAGGACCACGGATTTATATAATTAAATAACAAAAATATATATATAACACTTTATTTTTATAAAAATATAAATATAGCACCATATTAGTTTCAAAATAGCAACATGTCTTTTCATAATAGCGACAAACTGTTCTAGAATTTAAATAATCATAAAGAAACTAGTTCCACCATAAGTATTTAGACTATTACAAATTAACACTAAAAACTAGCAAACAAAAGTAATAAAAAAAGATACTATCCAAGTTTAGGTTTGGATTTAAGTTTTATATGAAATAAGAGAAGATACTATGCAAGAGGATGTATAATAAAAATATAAACTATTTGTATACGGTCCGGATCGGTTCCAATCCGGAACCGTGAGATTCAATCTGGAACCAATCCGTGAACTACGGATTTTTAATTTTTCAATACGGAACCGAACCACGGATTCAAAAAATCAATCCAAACCTACTAGATTGGACTGGATTGGATCGGATTACGGATTTCACAGATTTCTTGCTCAGCTCTAATATTATTAATATTATTCTTAAGAGTTAATTACGCTTTATTTCCCTTAATTATCATTGATATCATTTTGAACCTAGCTTCTCTCCAATCTACATTTTGAACCCAATTTATTTCCAATACAGCTGGTGAGGCCCACCACTAGCCCTATTTCAATGATCAATTTTGTTCATTTTCTTAGGTTTTAGTGTGTGGATCAATCATCAAAAAAATCAGAGAAACTTACATGTAAATCCTAATCAGTGTACTTATTGTCTAATAAATTTTATGAGAAAAATTTGTCATAAAAAAGTCAATAATTGTAAGTTTTAATGACAATTTATAAAAATTATGACAAAAAAAAGTTATTAATTGTCAATTTTTAGCGACGTATGTAAAAAATTGTCACAAAAAAATTATTTTTAGCAATAATTTTACTAAGACTTATTTTTAATAGGTCTTGATGGAAATTAAGTTTAACTATTAAGACCTATTGATAGTTTACCTAAAAAATTATATTGATTCAATAACTATAGTCAAACAATTTAATCATCTTTGTCTTAAAAAAAATAACAGACTACTTTCAAAATCATTATTGTCTTCTATTTTCTGGAAGACAAAGATAGTAAAATTTTGTGACTATCATTGTCAAATCAATCTGATTTTTCATAGACGATCTACATATTAAAACATAAAAATAAATGTAATAAATTATTGAAATGAGGTTTGTGACTAGCCTTGACGACTGGATTAGACAATTCAGTCCACTAAGTGCAGTTCATTTTAGTGGACAGGAGAGAAATTGGATCCTCTATCATTTTATCCTCATAATTTTAAAATTTTACATTTAGATACTTTAATTATCAAATTTGCTTCACTTCTGGGAAAAAAAGAGAGGAGTTTTTGTACAATTTTTAATAGTTAAGAGGTCTAAATATAAAATTTTAAAATTGAAGGGACAAAATAATATTTAACGATAGTTGAGGGGTAAAGTCTAATAAATCTTTATTATTATTATTATTATTATTATTATTATTATTTCATAAGTTGATTTTTGGGTTTGAGGAATCTTTATGAATTTTCCACTCTCAATTATTTTCATGATCATGATTTCCCTTTCTGTCTTTCTTTTGTAATTATTCTCACATCCTAGTGTGTAGTGAAAGTTCTCAACCCAAACTCCACCATTGGGGAATTTAGAAGGTGTATTCTTCTTTTCTCCCCTTTTTAGCTTTTTTTATTCCAAACCCAAATCAAAAGGCACCGGGCTATTATATATAATGACCATTTTACCCTTCCACTTATCAAAATCAAAACAGCATTTACTTGAGATTTCAAGAAAAACCAATGGCCAAAAATGTCATTATGTATAAAGGATACCCTTTTATTAGAGGACATGCGTGACCTAAATACAGCATCACGCACCTTTATTTTTACACGCTTGGTAAAGCACAAAGCAACCATGCAAACTCATCCATAAAACCTCATAGTGAATTCGAATTGTGTAATTTAGATTCAATTTGTATATGATCAGATTTATATTTATGTATATATGAATTATATATTACTTTTTAAAAATATTTTTTTAACGTTGCTCAATAGGATCCATATAATATTTTGACCCTATGATATGTACGTATGGATTGATAGATATGTAAGTTTTTCTCTTATAAATCCTCGGAATCCTATGTGGGTTCTTTTGATTCTCAGTTGGGCTTGCTTTTTAGTGAGATTCATGTCTCCTTTTTCTTTTGGGATAAGGTGAGGTTTGTATTACATTGATTCACCCTTTAAAGTAAAAAAAAAGTTAAGGTACTTGGTACTTGTTACTTGCTAGATAGATACTCATCAACCCTTTCCTCAATCTAAGTATACAATTGTCTGGTTACAATTCAATTGTTTAATACGCATTTTCCAAACATTATGATTTTTTTACTTGTATGAGTTGTTCCAATCATATTATTTTAGTGATTCTGATTTTAAATTTCAACTGCAAGTAAAAATAATAAAAATACTTAACTCACTCTTATCTTAATGAAACGAGTTAGGGATGAAAGACGAAAATCCAATAATTTTTGTGATAGTTTTTAATATAATTTCATTATTATTTGTGTACATAAAATTAGTCCCCCACCTCTTCCTTCTTTATACTACATATATACCATGCCTCTTTTCTTTCTAATCAGCGCCAATCAACCTTTTAAGTTTGCATATTTAACCTTTATATTGATTTTGTCGTTGTGAGTTTTGAAATCGCATTCTTAATCATTTGATATCAAAAATACAAATTATAAAATTAAAAGGGTCAGGAATAAGATTAGACATAAAGACAACGTTCACCAATAGGACCAAGGATGGGGTAAGCGTCCCCCCTACACATACCAATCCTGTTGTCATCCTTAACTACACGTCACATCTAGAGTTTAAAAAAATAAAAAAAAACACTAATAAATTTTTGTTGGTGAAACATTTCTAAAAGTCAATATAGTTCAGGAGTTAATAACAATCAAGTCATTTTTATTTATTTTCTATTTTTTGGAATGCTTTTTTATTTTTTCTTGAGAAATGTACGTGGTTCCATAATTATGACTATGATAGTTACGAGTCACCGAACCACATGTTGGATACAGATATTCTGTTTCATCACTTCTATGACTGCAAATTCTATTATTTACAACCCACCGAGCTCGTAACTTATACTTGAATGAGGTAAACATTAGACATCAACTTATACCTTCCAATCGAATCTGGTACTTTGTCTATATTTCCATTGTTTGCATTCAGTTGCCAAAAATTGAAAACAACAATTGATTTGAGAAACTAAAAATTTTAAAATAAAAAATTCACCAGTGTTTTTTGTTGTTGTGATTGACATTGTATCATATGATAGATCACTTGACAAGGATTTCGGATTTTTTTTTTTAATATATATATATTTTTTAATATGACATAATATAAAGAATAGGACAAAGGATTTAAAGTTGATTAAATGATACAAGATGAACTTCCTATGATGTGTTAAGTTCTAAACATATACTACAATAGCTCTCATGTTACTATTAGACTAAAACACAGTCACAAACAAGATAAGTGTCAAGGCAAACAGATAGAGGCCTTGTTTGTTTGTTTGCGTTTCTTTTCCCCCCCTTCTTTTTCTATGTTTAATAAATGTACGATCCAACTAGCATGGGATGGGATGGGATGGGATGGGATGGGAGATCCATCATTGCCAATGCCAAAGTTGATTAATCCAACCAACTTGGAAGTTGGAACTATCTACTGTTCTCATGTTTTATTTTGCCAACAGAAGTACTCTTGTGAAGCTATGATTACCACCTCTCTCTCTCTCTCTCTCTCTCTCTCTATATATATATATATATAAAATTGCTTCCCAATGGTGTAAGGAGAGTCCAAAAGGGAGAATACCCAATGCGGGCCACACTTTATTCACGGGTTCTTCTGTTACCAGATTCTATCCCGTGCAGTACCCCAGCCCTCTCTCTCTCTCTCTCTCTATATATATATATGCATCTTCATATATGTCTACCTGTATGGCATCATTACAGTTTTTTCATCTTTTTCTATGGTTTATTTTCAAGACTGAGTAGAGGAGCAAAGAAAAAAAAATGGTTAATGGAAGCTGGAGAAGATAAAGAGGGGTTCAAGAAACATGTTTGGGCTGTTCCTCAAACCTTTTTGGTCTACACCCACAAGTATTGGGCTTCAAACCTTGCTCTGCATTCCAATCCTGCTCATGTGTCAAAGATGACTAAGCCCTAAATCAGTTTAATTGAGGTTGTATTATGGTTTAAAGTTGTCAACAGAAATATCTTAATTAAAATAAATAAATAAAAAGAATAAGAAGCAAAACAAATGCAGGGATCAAGACCACCAAAAAAAAAAAAAAGGGAAAAAAGAAATGAAGTAAGATATATTTTTTTTATTTTTCTCTATAAATTCAACATTCAAACACAGCTGGGCCTGAGCTGTTGATCCTAGTACAAAAAAGGGAGCTCAGTCATCAATGAGCCCAAACAAACATAGGCCCATGTGAACATGGTGGAGGAGAATGGAGGACCCCACTGCCTAATGGCAATGGGCATTTTTTTTTTTATAACCTGGCCTCAAAAGAGGCTCACGAGAAAGGTTTTAAGGAAGGTGAACAAGAAGTCACGAGCGCCGAAAATTCAAATACAAAGTTGCAACATTACTTCCTAATACTATTTAATATAGTAATTATTGCACTCCTAAAATTTTTGACAAGTAATTCTTGCTCTTAACTATCATTATTACTAATTTCACTAAGGTGGCATACAAAAGATGCCTACATTTTAAACTCATCAAAATCAAACATTCTTACATAAAAAGATTTTCTTATGATTGAAAATTTTTCTGCAAGAGGTCAGTCAACATACACACCAGACCACATGGTATAATTTCATGTTGATGCATATAACATGTTTGTGATCAAACTTACAAGAAAAGAGGGCAGGTCTTGGCGGATCATGAGTTCAAGCTACAAAAATAACCTCTCTGCATGTGGGGCAATATTTGTAACATTCTCTAAACCATGTAGTGACGGGAGTCTCGTGTACTCAAACTGTCCTTTGCAAACTTACCGAAAAAGGTTAAAATGACATATAAGAAGACAATAGCATTCAATTGAAATTCAAAAAGCAAAGACAAATATCCTCACCATTGTATTATGGCATGCAGAATCACCAACTCTTCAGGCATCCATATTGCACCAGATTCAAGAACCTGTGAATCATATAAATGACAAAAAACACAATCACCCAGTGGAGATCCAGTAAAGTGATAGAAAATTGTGATCCTTCAATTGTTGACTTTAAAGCTAGGGTTCAGCTCATAATCATGGGTAGCACTGATACCAAAAAAAAGGCGGTCACTACTTCCAATCATATTGTAAGATGCTGTTCCAGATATAACAGCATCTTAATGGAGGGTGTTTGGTTTCTGTTTTTTTTAAAAAAATTTTTTTATTATTATTTTTGATAAGAACAACCCATAATTTAGTTTCCTAATATATCATCAGAGTTTAGCATCTTTACCATTCAATTAGAAGCATTTCTGAAGGGTACTGCAACTTAACAATGACTGGTATGCACCAGAGAGGCCTCCAACACTTTCATTACACAGCTCTATGAAATTCTAATTATGAGTGCCTCGAATTCAGAAGCAGAAAAATATGTCAATCCAAGTGTTGTTAATGAGAACGATAAAATTCGAATTAATATCAAAGAAACTGGAAATAGCTCTGAAACTGGTTAGCATTTGAAGGAACAAGAAAAATAATAGAATACCTCTGTTGCACTACCAAACCCTTTCAGCTGACCTTCATCTTGTTCCTAGTTGACATTATTTATGTTCCAACTTCTCCAAATGCAGTCATTTTGTACATACCTTCTCCTCCTGCCACTCATCCATCATACATGAGACATCAATGTATGTTACATAGCTGCACAGCATTCGACAATTTTGAAAACGGCTGTTGTCTTATTTAGTTTTCCTAGAATCAACTCAACAGAGCTTACTATCCGAATACTCTGGTGCAAGTCCTATTTTTTTCATCACACCACACCCAGGGGCCAGGCCCATATGCTACAGTGCATTATACTTTATATCACATTCTTTCTGGCTTTTCTCTTGTTCTTGCACCATCTTCATTATATCGAATCACCCTTTAGCCGTGCTTCCATTTTTTTTTTCTTTTTCCCCTGAAAGGTATTCTCTACAGTTGCTTTCATTGGTCGTTGCTGCATCTAAGAAAACCATCACAGATGACTATCCCTTATTACGTACAAAAATCACTATTTTGTTGATACTAAAACCAGTCTATGGCATATATATGTTCTTTTCCTAGATTTTTGTAATTTCTGACCAGAAACTTGAATTTCAAATAATAGATTTCAGAAATACCATTAAACCAACTCACCACTAGGCTCAGGTGTAATGTAAGCACTAGTAGAAACTATATAGAAATCAACAATGATTCATCCCACTAAAAATATCACCACTAATAGCACTAATGCATTAAAAAAATAAAAAAAATAAAAAAAAATTACAACTCCAAGATCAAAACATCACATCATTCATGGCGGGCCCCACTGCCACCTAATTAGTGGGAGCACTAATTAGTGCTCCCAAGCATTTTTCTATAGAAATTATCCATTTGCTGCCTTCCATATTCAACAAGCTAGAAGACAAATAGCAACCAACATAATGGCAATATAAACAGAATTAGTATCAAAAGCTGCTCATAGTATCCAAGCCATAAGTAGATATTTAGACCACTGAATCAGGCATGACAACAGTGAGAATCAAATACCTAAATTCACTACGTCACTTTGACATGCCAAGCCTTCACCATTCTAAGACAACAGTAAGCATAAGTTGTATATAACTTGGGACTTTTAGGAATTTTGATTTATTATTTCTCCATAACATTAGTGAAAGCAAGCCTAATTTCATTTAGATGAAGCATGTTAAATTATTATTTTTCTGATCTAGGAACCGACATGCATCCTTTCCATAGAACACGACATGGCCCTAGCTTCAGATTTTCATATAATTCTCAGAAATCTATGTAGCTACAGTCCATGGAACTTCAATTACTTGGTAATCAAGAGAAGGAGATGAATGCATTATGTTTGTTATGTATTAAAAAACAATGCCCAATTAATACACATTAATGTTTGTCATGCATTATTTGAAGTAAGTATGATAGGAGCTCTAGATGGTTAAATAGATAATATCTATATGAAATCATGCACTACATGTGCCCTTCTTGCCACCTTAATAACTTCTATATCAATGAACATCGGAAAATTGGACAAAGGAGGAAGGTGCGACGATTATCCCACCAAATATAATCATTTTACATTTGATGCACCCATGTAGCAAGTTAGCTATGTACAAACACATTGCATAAGAATACCCTCAAAGTTTCAATGAGAGAGTAAACAAAGAAACTAGGAATGAAAATAAAATTTCCCCCAACAAATAAGTTACACATTCAGGGCATACCCAAAATTAAGAAACAGAGAAAACCACCACTTTTGAGTAGTTGACAACTAAAAGCTAATCATTCAGTTGATTAAGACATAGTTTTTAGGCCATCTAAAAACAAACAAACAAAACTAACTACATGGATGAAAGAGAAAATTGGCTAAGTCAAAATAAGTTAGATAATCTGTTCCCATGGGTAACAAAAATTTAGGGAAAAGAAAAACCACCAAGGAAATATCACTAAAAGTCATTGACTAAAAACAATTACAGTAATTTGAAAAGCAACAAGTGATTGATTGCAAATCATAGATATAATTAAAAAAAACTATACCTTGAGATAACAAAACTTCAAACCTTCGTACCTAAATTCTACAATTTGGGACTGTTTCATGAAATTGTCACTTCTATTAGCAGGAAATCTCAGCATGAAGGCGTGTTTAAGATAGAAAATACACACAATTTCTAGGGCAGACATTTGAGTGAAGAAATTGGACCATATTACAAGCCACACAACCAAAAATGATCTGTGCACCAACTTTTTCATACAATCGAGCAGTAAAAGTAGAAGGCTGACCTTGTTGTTTCGAAATTCTTGATCATAATCGAGAGAGAAAAGAGAGAGAGGATTGAAATTGTAATTCCCAAATACTTCATCTGTTTAGTTGCTCTTTCCTGAATTCAACTTTTTGAAAATTGAATTTTTTTTTAAATAGTTTTTTTTAATATTTTAAGTGAATATTTTACTTTTTATACACACTAAGCATAATATTTATGATTTTTTTAAAAAAGCATTAAATATTAAAAATACAAAAAAAAAAAAATTATATTTTTATATTTTTGTTTATTTATTGATTTTTTTAAATATTTTACTTTTTAACTATATTTAAGTTAGATACATCTAAAAAATAAAAAATTATTTAAAAAACTAAAAAATTTACTAAAAATAAAAAATATGAAAAATAAAAATACTTAATTTTCAAATAATTAAATTCAAAAAAATGTGTATTGTTTCTAATGGATTTGTCTCAAGTATAGTGAAAAAATGTATAATCTGAATTTCAAACCCTCAACAAATGTTTGCTGTGTAGATTAGCATGCTTATTTTGATTTTCTTGGAAAAATAGAATCTTTGAGAATTATTTCAGAATTGAAAATGGAGTGAGAGGTTGCTCAAATAAAATAAAAATTATGCTTGGAGAGCAAACGAAACTGTAATGCGATGAGATGAGTAAAAGGTGAGTTTCATATAAGTCGATTTTAGACCCTGTTTTAGCTCTGAATTGCCACCAACAAAATGACTTATGTGTTTCATGCATTTTGCAAAGCTGAATAAAAAAAAGAGGCACTGAAGATTTTTTTTTTTTTAAATTATAATTTCATTAATTATCTATGGTTGTGATGTAATCTTGGAGATATTCCTATTCAAAAAATTAAATTAGACCTTTTGTTTTTTTTCCCAAATAATGCAAGTTGAGAGGTATAGATTTTTTTATTTATTTGTTCTTGACCATTTATGAAAGAAATTTAGCACTACTTTATCCATGGTTTTGTTTGGATTGGTTTATTCCATGGGCTTGTTTTTTTAAGAACACACTAGATTATATAATTGAATGTTTGGTGATTTCTTGATTATTAGAAAATTTATTTTAATCTAATTTGTCGGCCCTTTTGCAGTTAGAGTAGTGGAGCTTATTGTTTGTTTTTTCACATGACAATGGACATAGTTAAGATGGAGGATGCGTCAAGTCTATGGAGGAAGTGTTAGTGAACATAGTTTTAAAGTAAGGCAGCTTTATATAACAATGTCACTTAAACTAAAATGTCTATTGGTCACATATAGAAGATGGTTTTGAATTAGTTGTTTCTTTTCAATGTTAATTAACTCTCAATTACATCAATCTAAAAAATTTGGTTATTATTTTACTTTTGTTGGGTTTATTTTTTGTTTTATTTTATACCTTTTTTCAAACATAGTGAGCTTGAATATGCTACAAGAGTTAAGAGTATGAAATAATGTGCTATTTTAGTGCTTGAGTTATTTATCTTTAAGGTTCACTTGGAAGTTTCAGATAGTTCTCAACTTTGTTCACAAAGTTTTATTAGAGAGCTTAGATGTATTACAAGAAATTATATATGACGTATTTAGTTGTACTATTAATTAAGTAGGCACTGTTAATTAGTTTTGCTAGCAATTTTCAATTTAGGAGTGTTGTAGGCATGAGTAATTTTCTGTTTTGATTGTTGTGTGGTACTTCAGATTTTTAGACTTTAATTTTGTCATTTTAATTTATCAAATTGTTAGCTAAAGGAATTTTTTTACCCTACTTCACTATTTGTGTATGGACAATTTCACTAGGTAGTAATTTTTATGGTTATAAGCTTCATATTAGAATATTGAAATGTATAGAATTACTAAATTATTGGATTTTTTCATATGTTATTGGAAAGATAGTTGGTTTTGGAAGAAATCAAAATGTATGCTAGTATATTTAGGCGCGAGTCATCCGCTAGAAGGGTAAGATTAGAGACCAAGTTTTGCAACATACAATCTCTCAAGTTGAGTCAATTTTGTAAAATATGTTAGTGACATGTCAAAGTGTTTGACACATCTCTAACATTTTATTAAAAAAAAAGGAATTATTTCTTTGACTCCTCTATAACATTTTATTTGGAAAAAATAATAGTTAGGTAAATGTTATCTAATGCAGCATTATTTTGTGATCAAGTTTACATTTATTTTCCCATTTTTTTTCATTTATTTTTTTGCAGTGCTTGCTTAAATATATAAAATAAGTGTCAAGTATGTAATCAAATTGCTCAAGACATGAGGTCTCTATTTTGACATAGTGAGCGTGAATTGCTACAAGTGCTAAAAGTATGAGGTAATAAGATATTTTAGTACTAGATTTATTTATCTTTCATGGTTCACTTCGCAATTTTAGGTAATTTTCAACTTTGTTCACATAGTTTTATTAGAAAGCTTGGATATATAGTAAGAAATTATTTATGGCATATTTAGCTGTGCTATTAATTAAGTAGACACCATTAATTAGTTTTGCTAACAATGTTCAATTTAGGAGTATCGTAGGCATAAGTAATTTTCTATTTGATTATTGTAAGGTATTTCAGATTTTTAGACTTTGATTTTGTCATTTTAATTTGTCAAATTGTTAGAAGGCTAAAGGAAGTTTTTACGCTTTGTCACTGTTTGTGTACAGATAATTTCACTAGGTGGCAATTTTATGGTTATAAACTTCATATTAAGAATATTGAAATATATAGAATTACTAAATCATTGGATTTTTCATATGTTATTGGAAGGATAGTTGGTTTTGGAAGAAATCAAAATGTATGCAAGTATTTTTAGGCACGAATCATCCACTAGAAGGGTAAGATTAGAGACCTAGTGTTGCGACCTACTGTGGGTGTTGATTTCCGACCACACAACCAAATAGGGAACTCAACTAGAGAGCATCGACAAAATAGATTAAGCTCGAACAACCTGTCACAGAAAGATAGGAATTCGGCAGTGGTTCGTCTACCCAGGGGCACTCCGACGATCAAGTTAGTAATTGATATCACACAAAGATAGCTAATTAAGCTTAACTCACAAGAAAGAACTTACTACTCTTAATATCTCACACATACCTGAGACCACAGGGGTGTCCCGCTTTTATAGCCTACACTGACCTGATCTCTATAGATGCCTAACTTCAATAGACTCAGGCTCAATGCTCTATCTTGGACTCTCAGCTAGAAAAGGATAAACTTCCTAAGAGCTTTATCTTTATTCAGACTGAAACCCTCTCCCGTTCTAGGACTCTTGTCCCTTATCTGCTCATCTTGGATTCCGACACCTCCTCAGGTAACCTTGGCCTAGCCGAGATAACCTTGGCATCAAGACCAAGCCACGTGGCACCTTAGCTGACACTTCGACATCACCTTGGTCACGTGCTATCATTCACAAAATATG